TGCTTACCCGGCCCCGCCCGTCAACACCACAGCCTCCACCTCCACCTCCCAAGGCACCCAGCACAGAGCCCGTGCGCAGAGAGTTCGTGCTGAACCAACCACAGCAGCGAGCGTAAATGCTGCGGGAGCCCAGAGAAGACAGGGGTGGCCTCACGGAGGAGGTGACCTGGGCCGGGGATCTCCAAGGATGAACAGGAGTGAGCGAGGAGTTTGTTTAGGAAAGCAAGGATGTGGTGAGGAGGGGCTGGATGTTAAAGAAAAACATATTTATGACACTTGTGGAAACCAGTGAGGCAGACTTATGGGGGAGGGTGGCTATCGCCATAAGTGCAGGGACAGCAGCAGTGGGTTCCCACAGTGGGGAAAGAGTGGGCTCAGTGCTTAATACAGCAGGGTCAAGAGGGGATTTATAGCCAAGGAGGAGAAAGTGAGGGCAGCAGATGGAAAATTACTAAGAGGAAACCTAAGTTGGGGAGGTGGGATGGTTCTAGCTAAACCAACTGGACAAGATTCTTGCTGAAGGCGGCCAGGTGATCAGACCTCACCTGGTGGTGGGGACGAGGTACCCAATCACATATGGAGGTGATCAGATACCAAGGGTGGGGTTCTTGCTAAAACTGGATTTAACAAGAAGGGGAACAGCTGGGCCCAGGAGGAGGTTCAGGAGCCTGACTAGAGTTCAGTCAAGCACAGAATCCTTGTCAAGGGCATTCCAGGAGGAGGGCAGTGCACAGAGCCTCAGAGGGCTGACCTGGCTGCAGCTGGGGACCCGGAGGAGTTGGGGGGGCCGAGAGACGGGGTCTCAGTGGCAGGGCAGGGTCTGGGCTGCAGGGCCAAGGGTCAGGCCTCCCCGTCTTTGAGGCAGTAACAGCAGCCTCTTGTGTGGCCCCCAGCAGGAGCCCAAGCTTGAGGGAACCCAGGAAGGGGAACAGCCGGTGCAAAGGCATGGAGGTGGGAGCGAGCTGGAGCGCCCCCATAGCTGTCCCCTCCCAGTGGCAGCGGTGTCGCACCCTCATGTCGGCCTAGGTCCCCTCCCCGCACCCATCGTCCTGGGCTCTGGAGGGCTGCGGGGTAGGGAGAGCGTGTGTCTGCAGGAAGGCTCCCTCCCAGCCTCCCCTCCGGTCCCTCCGCGAGTCCTGCCTGGGCCCGCAGCACCATCTGCCGGCGGCAGGGAGAGGCACAGGCATGCGTGGCCTGGAGGCCCCTGCCGGCTGGTACCCTGGGCAGGGGGTGGCCTGGAGGGACTGGTACCCTGGGGACGGGGTGACAGCCCAGGGAGGCAGGTGTGAGATGGCCCATGGGCCTCATCTTCACCCTGGGTTTAGGGGGCTGAGTGTGAACCTGGCCTCAACACTGACTGCAGTGTGACCTCCAGCTGCTTCCTCACCCTCTCTGAGCTTTGTCCCAATCCCAGGGTGGTGAGCACACCCGGCACCCAGGCTGCTGTGAGAAGCAGCCACCAGACTGGGAGCCCACATCCAGCGGAAGTTGTGCGCCCTGGTGCTGATGGTGCTCCCTAATTCCTGAGAGGCTCATGGGGAGACACTGCAACCCTGATGTCTCACCAGTTTTAAACATAGGGGGCAGGGGGAGGTAGACAAGAGTCAGATCCCAGGTCTCAATAGATGTCCCTCCCCGTGTCCCCTGGGGTCAAGGTTGGTCCACGGAGGGGCTCATTCACTTTCACCAGCCTCAGTGTGGTGCTGGACTGCCCCCCTCCCGGCCTCCCCCGCAACCCTGCCTCCCCCGTCCCAGCCTCCCCCGGAACCCTGCAGAGAGAGGAACACACAACCCCCAAAGCGGTTCGTCTCATTTTGCCTGGCCAGGACTTACTGGAAAGTTCTCCTGTGGGAACAAGGTTACAGAAAACCTGCCTCACCATACTCCAGGTACAAATAGTCTAGGACACTCCCGGGAGCCAGAAGGCCCCCAGCGGGCCCTGGGGAGGTCTGGGGCCAGGACCTGCGAAGCCCCCGGCTCGTGCCCCGCAGGGCTCAGCCTCTGTCTTATCCCCTCCTCCTTCTCCCCTCTGCCCGGAGTCCCAAGGAGGGGATGGGCCGCCCTAGGGGACCCCACCCCCAACCCCGAGGCCTCACTCTTGGCTCCAATTCCAAATTCTCAAAGAAAGAGAACTCGTCGGTCCACCCTGCCCAGTCAGCCTGGCAAAGGTTTAACAAGGAGCTCTCCAAAAACCAAAGGCCCAGACTTGTAGCGTCGCCCATTTCCATGGTGTAAATACTCCCGCCACCTACGGCTGATTTCCCGCTACCCGCTACCCGCGCAGTCGCTCCCCAGATGTAGATGCACAGATATGAGTAACCACTAGGGCATGGATAACAGTGAAATACAGTCGGATAAGCAGGAAGTGAGGAGTCTGGGGTATGTATTACCTCTGTTTTTAATATAAACCATTTAATTGTAAGCTTCTATGGCTATATTTAACAACCAGCTCTCAGAATGGCTGACAACTTAAGGTCCAGTCATTCAAGCCTGTTGGCGCAACTCCAGCCCACCCCTCAGACAAATGGCTGTCCGGGGCACACCGGAGGCGGGGATGGTTCTCAGACAAGGGACACTTCCAAGACGCCTCTTCTGGCAGCTTTGCGGGAGCAGGGGGGCCCTCCCGGGGACCCCCCTTCATGAGTGCATTTGTGGACCCAGTTAGTAACAGTCCCCTCCACGGTCCCAGGAGGATGGAAGATCCGGAGTCCGGAGTCTGTGCCTTGGAAAAAATCACAGTGCCCACCTCCTGGACTTGTGCTGAGCCTTAAGACACAAGGTAACACACCGAGAACAGCGCAGGGACCTGGTGATGCTTCAGTAAACGTACCACCCCCCTTACTCTCGCCTCACTCCTCCCAGCCTCAGTTTCCTCCCCGACACATGGTGACGATCTATAATACCCACTCGTGGGAATGTCAAGAGGTTTATCGGACTTAGGCCTGGCGAGGCTGCCCACAAGCCCGGCCTTCGTCTGCACCGAGCACCTCTTACAGAAAAGCAGTTTAAGTCTCAGAACAGCCAGGGGAGATGGGCGCTGTCAGTCCTGTATACAAAGGGGTCGTGGCCTCGGAGAGGTCATCCAGCCAGCAGTCCCAGGGCTGGGATTTGAGCGCCAGGGGCCAGCTCTAAAGCCCTGGGGGCCTTGGGGTGGGGGGTGGGCGGTGGCCGTCTGTAGTGTCTGAATCTTCCCCAACCGTTGCCCCAGTCCTGGGCTCCTGGCTGCCTCCAAGACGTGCCTGCAAGGAGCCCCTAAGCCCAGGGCCTGGCTGGGCAGGGGGAGACGCTCGTCGGGCTGGAGCTACTGGCCCAGCAGCAGGTCCCAGCACCAACAGGCCCGTGGTCCGTGCAATGTCTTCGCTCTTAACCCCTCCTCACGCAAGCCCCACCCTAAGAGCCTCCAACAGCCGAGTATGGTGACAAGGGTCCATGCGGGGAGTCCCGAGTCTGCCTTCTGGACCAGCTCCGCCCTGCAGCATGCTGCTGGACCCTGGCCCCGTGTGAAGGGACGTCGTACAGAATCCTGCCTCTGCTGCCTTGTCCCTGGCGTGGAATATGTGTCTGTTATCTACTGCTGTGTGACAAATGACCTCAAAACTTAGTGGCTTCAAACAACACGCATTTACTATCTCACAGTTTTGGGATCAGGAATCCAGGCGTGGCCTAGCCAGGTCTTCTGTCTCAGGGTCTCTCGAAAGGCTGCAGTCAAGGCACGGGCTGGGGCCAACTGCACGGGCCTTACAGGAGACAACTGAGAACCAGAGAGGGAAGGGCCTAGTCCCAGCCACACTGGGAGCACACGTCCACGCACACACCCGTGCACGTGCTGGGCCCAGACACGGTGTCCAGTTCCACAGCACTGTCCTTGGAAAGGACAAAGGGACCATTGTGACCTCGGGGGTGAGGTCAGGGCGGGCTGCAGTGGGGGAGGGGGACGCCCAGGGATAGGGCTGCCCCGCCCTGCGTGAGGACAGAGCCTGTGGGTTCTCCAAACCGCACCCTGGCATGGACGAGGAGCCTTTGGAAAAGCCACACAGCGCCACTGCAGCTGATGGGACGCCATCCGCCGTGTCTGGGAACTCCAGGTCAGCCCGGCTCTAGGCCAGGAGGTGTGGGGGTCAGGAGGGGACCCCCATGCCCTGCTTCTCACAGGAGCCCTGGCCTCTCCATCTCTCAGGAGAGTGCCTCCCTGCAGGGCACCCCCGCGGGGCATCCGGGCGAAGGAGGGAGGGGCCTGGAGCCCGGAGCAGCCTGGGGAGGGGTCTGGGGCTGACCTGGTGGAGAGGAGGCTGAGAGGGAGGAAACGGCTTGGCCATCACGGCGCTGTGGGGCTGTTGACTGCTGGTGAGGCCAGAGGTGTGGCCAGCCATGTGTCAGTGCTCGTCCACACGCGCCTGCAGTGTGAATGAGTGGACAGATGGACTGATGGACAGACAGACTGTCCACCCGCTTCCCTGAGCCTGGGCTTCTCCACCTGCGGGGAGGAGATGATACAACAGCCAGTGTCCTTGCGGAGACATAAGGAATGTTCCTCTGTGGCCTTCGGGCCCAGTGTCCCCAGCATCCTGGGCGGGCACTAGGGCAGCTCCACCTTCCTGCGGCCACGGCAGGTCAGAGGCCGGCTGGCGGGCTCCCTCCCTGCCTCCTGGGAGCCCCGGTGGTGGGGGAGTGCCCTCCGGGGACACGGGCAGGCCCTGCTCTCCAGGCTCTCCCAGGCGGGTTCCGGAGCGGCATTCCTGCGTGGGTTCCCTTTGCTGGGGGCTGTTCCAGAAGGAGCAGCCTTGTACCTGCCTTTGAACTCAGTTATTTTGGTCTACACGGAGCTCTTCCCGTCTGTGTTGTGTGTCAGGCCGTCTCCTCCTCTGCCACGGCTTGGATGCTTCTCAGGCGAGAAAACGCTCCCCTGCAGCTGTTTGCCTAACTCTGTTCCTGTCGGTTTTCCATGTTTAAAAATACGCTCAGTTTGGTTGCTGCGGGGCTGGGATGCCGGTTGGGGTGCGATGCAGGTCTCCCTCGCGCCTGTGGCCAACGCTGACCCGCCCAAGGCCCCTCCGGGCGCAGAGTGAGGCCAGACCCCGACCCCGGGAGGTGCCCGCAGAGGTGGCGCCCGCCGTCTCCACGTAAAAGGCCGAGTATCTGGGAATGGCTGGGAAGTGGCTGGTTTTCGGAGAGGTCACAGGAAGAAGGGGCCCTCCAGGAGGGGTAACGTGTGCACTGGGCCCTGAAGCGGCCGCCCCAGGAAAGGCCACGGTCCCCAGGATGCAGGCTTCGGGGTTGGGGCTCGGGTCTGAACTGGCGCCATCCCGCAGAGGCTGTGTGTCCTGGGACAGGTCACCGAACCTCTCTGTGTCTCAGCGCCTTGTGCCGTTGGTTTGAAGATAGCGTGGGCGAGATCAAGTGCCCAGCCTGTGGCTGCAGTGCAGGCGATGATGGGGGTAGGGGGACCCAGGGAGGTGACGAGAAGGGAGGCGCCCGTCCCTCCCCGGCAGGAAGTATCCAGCTGGGGGAGCTGCCCTGTTCCCAGAATGTCTTCATTCATTCATCACTCATTCAATTATTCAGTCATCCAGCACCCACGCCGGGCATGTGCTTTGCCAGGCCTCCCTGACCAGGCTGTTTCAAATGCCCCCCAAAGGCTCGTCTCATCCCTGTCCCTCTTGATCCTCCGTGTCACTGTCCCCAGCTGACACAGGACATAGTTTCTTGTCCGTGCATCCTCTCTCTGCCCCCAGAATGCGAGAGCCGCAGGGAAGGGGCTCCTGTGTGTGGTTCACTGATGACCCCCAGGGCCTGGAGCGGGGCTGGCACACAGTAGGCATTTCATCAACACCACCGAATGGATGAAGGCAGGAAAGAATGATCCTGCGCTGGGCACCGTGTGGGCCCCAGGGGGGACAGAGATGCTCAGTCGCCCTCAGGCCAGGTGCCCCCCAGTCTCTGTTCCTGCACTTTATAAATGCTTTCACCCCAGCGTGTCCCCTGGACATGGGAGCTTCCCGGGGACACAGCTGGCTCAGTCCTCTGTGTCCCCAGCGCTCAGACGTGCAGGAATGCCACCCCTCTAGCAACCCCACGAGTGTCCCCTGCTCGGCCACCTGGTCACGGGTTCCCGAAGAGGCAGGTGGTGGGGAGGGTGGAGCGTCCTCCGGCTGGCGTGGCCGTGGGATGGGGTGAGGGGCCCCAAGCCCCCAGCATGAATGCCGTCTGGGAGCGGGGCTGATGGGGCAGGGCTGCTGGGAGCGGCTCCAGGGGGACGCGAGGAGGAGGATCCCACTGTCCAAGGAGGGCCCTCCCAGGCGGCACGCCCTTGCATGCGTCCTCTCACTCGGCCAGTCAGCCTTCACTGGGGCCTGCCCGGGGATGCACGGGGGCCCCCAGAGACAGCCGGCACATCCCCAGGGAGACTGAGGAGGGAATACCAGCGTTAGTCAGCAGGGTTCAGGGGAGCTCAGTCAGTGGGGGAGGCACTCCTAACCCTAGGATGCTCTTTCCAAGCGAAGAAGGCTGAAGAGCATCTTTGCCTGGCCCTGACGAGGGGGCGAGACGGGAGGAGGAAGGATGCATGCTCTGGGCAGAGGGGCCAGGAGAGCAAAGGCCCAGAGGTCGACTGGAACAGGCTGGGGCAGCTGCACACCGGATCCTGGTGTGGAGGCTGCAGGGGGCAGACCACCAGGGTCCTGTGAGCTGGGAGGGTCTGTCACAGGGCTGTAGCCGGAAGATCAGAGACGGGGCCGGTTGTTGCTTTGGCTGCGTGGCTCTACCTTTCATCCGCAATGTTTGCTGAGTACCTGCCAAGTGTTCCAGACACTATTCTAGGCGTCAGGGACACAGCTGGGCACGAGAGAGAGAGGTCCCTGCCCTCGTGGCTTACCCTCAGTGGAGGAGACAGCCAATAAATGATAGATGTAGTAAATTACATGTCACAAGCAAAAAAGTGATATGGAAGAAAATGGACAGGGGTGAGGTGGAGAGTGCGGGGTGAGGCCCAGGTGCAATTTTAAACAGGTTCATCAAGAAGGTAGCAATTGAGCCAAGACTTGAAGGAGGTGAGGGACTGAACTGAGCAGCTGTCTAGAGGAAGGACGTCCCCAGACTGAAGGCACGGCTGGTGCAAAGGTCCTGAGGCAGAGGCATGCCTGGTGGTGTGAGGGGCAGCAGGCGCTTACTGTAACTGGGGTGGAGGAAGCAAGAGAGAGCAAGAGATGAGATCAGAGGAGGTGAAATGATGTGTTCTCACTTCTTTTGTTCTTATTTTCTTCTTTATTACGGTATAATTCACATACAGTAAAATTCACTCTTTTTAGCATATAGTTCTGTGAGTTCTGACAAACTCATATGGTCGTGTATCCAGTACCAAAACCAAGACAGGAAGCAGCGCCAGCCATCTCCCCCGTAACCCTCCAGCCCCCTTTTATAACCAACCCTCCCACAATTCCGCTCCCCGGAAACCATTGCTCTGTTTTCTGTCTGTATGGTTTACCTTTTTCAGAAGGTCATAAAAATGGGACTATACAGCGTGCAGCCTTGGGGGTCTGGTTTCTTTCACACAGCGTAGTGCACGTAAGAATCGCCCATGAGGTCGCGTTTATCGGTCACTCACTTCTTGTTATTGCTGAGATGCAGCACGGTCTGCTTACGCGTCCACTGGTCGGAGGACGTTTGGATTTCTTCTGTTTGGGGCTATGACACATAAAGCCGTTATAAACATCCGTGTACGGATTTCATGTGAAAATAAGTTGTTTCTCTTGAGTAGACGCTTAGGCGTGGACTAGCTGAGTTGGATGGTAAATGTATGTTTAATTTTCTAAGAAAGTACCAAAGTACCTTCCACCCCGGCTGTCCCGTTCTGCACCCCGCAGCCGCGTAGAGACTTCACGTCACTCTGCCACCGCGCCAGCGCCGGGGATTTGCCAGATTTCTAACTTTAGTCACTCCAGTAGCTGGGTTGTGATCTCCCCCTGCGGTTTGGACTTGTTTCTCCCGTGAGGAAGGACGCCGACCACGTTTTATTTGCTTATTTGCCTTCTGTATGTCCCCCTTGTTGACGTGTCTGTTCACATCTTTTGCTCGTGTTTTGTTAGGTTGCTTGTGGTTTTGTTTTGTGTTATTTATTCTATTTATCTATTACATATTCTGGATATCGTCCTTTATCAGATGTGTGATTTGCAAATATTTCCTCCAAGTCCAAAGCTTATCTTGTCATGTTTTATAGATGTCTTTCACAAAGCGGAAGCTCTTAATTTTGATGAAATTCAATTTATCATTTTTTTCTTTGATGGATAGTGCTTTTGGTGTCACATCTAAGAAATCTTTGTCTAATCCAAGGTCAGGAAGATTTTCTGCTATATTTTCTTCTAGAAGTTTTAGAATTCTAGGTTTTGCTCTAGGTCTCTGACCTATTTTGAGTTGATTTTTGTACGTAGTGTGGGGTATAAATTGGGGTGTTTTTGAGCGTGTACATCCAGGTGTTGCCTCACCGTTGGTTTAGAGACTCTCCTTAATTGAATCGCTTTTGCACTTTTATAAAAAATCAATTAGCTTAATGCGTGTGGGTCTTTTTCTGGACTCTGTTTTGCTCTGTTTATTTATATTTCTGTGCTTCCCTCAGCACCACCCTGTCCTGATCACTGTGGCTTTACCGTAAGACTTGAAACCAGGAGTGTCAGCGTCCAGCTCTGCTCTTTCTCAAAATTGTTTGATTCTCTTAGTTACTGTCCTTTTCCATATAAATATTAGAAACATCTTGTGGTTCCTACAAAAATGTCCTCCTGGAATTGTGATTGGGATCACATTGAATATTTAGATAAATTTGGAGAAATCCTAACAATATTGAGTCTTCCAATCCATGAACATGGTATGTGACTGTACTTACTGAAGTCTTTTTTATTCCTTTCATCAGGATTTTGACTTTACAGTAGATAGGGCTCACAATTATTTGTTGGACTGTATACCTAAATAGCTCATAGTGCTGCTGTACAAGGTACCTTTTTATTTCAGTTCCCAACTGTTCATTGCAGTATGTAGAAACAAGACTGATTTTAGCATGCTGACTTTATGTTTGCAAACTTGCAGCACTCACTTTTTGGGTCTAGTAGATTTGGGGAACCGCGGGAGGATTTTGAGTGACGTGATCTGACACATTTCTTCTGTGGAGGAGCAAACAAACGGGTAAACTATTAAGAGATGAGCCACCTTCTAACATAGCACATAGCACACCTGTTTGACATGTGGACTGTCTGCTGTTTATCTTGCTCATGGTTATATCCCCGGTGCCTAGAAAGAGCGAGCCGCCCACACGGCAGGTGCTTGGGAAGCGGGAGCCGGGAGTGAACGAGCACGTGAGGTCGTGAAGCGGGTGCAGCAGAGACCTGCTCTGCCGGGGGGCTCCGCTGGAGGGAGCTGTGGGACAGCCCGGCTCAGGCAGCACCCCCAAAATGAAGGATGCCTTCCTTTCCAGCCCCTTAAGGCAATGAGCACGGTCTGGGGGAGTCCTGTTCCCACGGCAGCAGAAGAGGAAGGAAAGAGGGAGTAGGGAGGAAGGAGAGGAGGAGAGGGCACGAAGCAGCCTCGGAGCCCCACAGCCTTCCTTGCTCCCCCAGCACACTTCCTCTCGGGTCTCTCACGCACGCACCAGTGTTCTGAAGCACCAGGATGGGGGGCCAGGGGTGCACCACAGGTGGGTGGGGTGCTGCACGCCCAGCCCCGGACTCCTGCTCCTGCAGCTCTCTGGCCTCCTTCACAGGCCCCACAGTGATGTCTCAGGAGCCAGGGCACTCTCACGTGCGGTCCTGAAAGACGCGCTCCTCCAGGTCAGCGCGAGAGCTAGAGTTGGGGAATGCCATCCCCTGGGCCCTCCACGTCCCGCAGCTGTGTGTGCCCCGCCAACACTTGCTGGAAGCCAGGCCCCACCAGGCCACAGGCGATGCTGCCTACTGAGCAGTGCCCCTGAGGCCTTAAGCCCCCTGCCCTCCTCCCAGGGCTCTGCCAGCCCATTGAGGGGAAGGGTGGACACGTGGAAGGGTGCTTCCCAGCCTGATCCACACCAGTGTAGCTCTCAGCGTTTCCTTGCGTCCGTGAACACACAGGGCGTCCAGCTGCATACACCCAGGACCCCTTTTCCATTTCAGAAGCTCCTCCCACATCTCCGAATCCACAAAGGTCCTGTCTTACACGAAGGTACCTCAGGACTCTGCCCGCGGGGACAGACAGGCGCACCCCACCACCATCGTGCTCCGCGAGTCACAGAGCAGCCCCGCTGCACTGGTGCCCGAGGAGCACCAGATGTTCACGAAAGAACACTACAAAGCAGACGACCACCAGCCCCGGGACTCAGGCAGGCGGGGGCGTGGGCTGCTCAGGTTCCAGCAGATCCCACCACCACGTGCCTCCACCCGAAGAAAGTCTGAGGGTGAGAGCCAGAGGGAGTCTACTCCCCAGGACCTTGGGGACATCAAGGGGTGTGGACATAGTGAAGCTTTCTCAGAGATCCCTGCACACCCTCCTTGGCCCCTTCATGCCTCCCGAAACACCATACAAAGCCCAAAAGAATACCCTCTCTCACACCCCACCTTCCACTCTCCTCCCACACCCTGTCCTGTCACTGGCATGCTTTTCCCCTCATTCAAAGGATGACTTGCCTTCATCCTTCTAGGCAAAGTCCAACTGCCACCTCCTCTGAGAAGCCAGTCCTGACTGCCCCTCCATCTTAGTCAGGATTTATTGCCCCTCCCCTCTCTGTGTACCTAGGGCCTTTTATACAACTACCCCAGAGAACCAAAGTCCACTGATACTGGGTAGGGCTCCCCTGGGCTGGAGGCTCCTTCAGAACAGAGCTGGGCCCTGATTCCTCTTTGAGCCCACACACACAGCCCTATGACCACACAGAACAAACATCATTGAGTGGTGGATGGCTGGATGGAGGGTGAAGGAATGAATAGACGGAAGGACAGAGGGATAGATGGTTAATTTTTGAATAGATGTGTGGATGATGGATGATGGATGGATGGATGGATGGATTTTAAAATGGATGGATAGTGGGTAGGTGGATGGACTGATGAATTTATGAATGGAGGGGTAGATAGATGGGTGGATGGATGGATAAATTTATGAGTGGATGGGTGGGTAGATGGATAAATTTATTAATGGGTGGATTGGTGGATGAATATAAAGATGGACAGATGGGTGGATGGATAGATGGATTGATAGACAAACATATGAATGAATGTGTGGGTGGATAGACAGATGGATTAATGAATAGGTGGATGATAGATGAATGGATAAATGGGTGGATGAAAAGATGGTTGAATCAATGAAAGGATGAAAACATGCCTGCGTGAATAAGAGTGTGCAGCTCTGCATGCATTTATGCTTCTTATCCTATCTTGAACCCCAGGAGGACTGTTTGGACAGTCAGGAGGCCCAGGATTTCCCAGTGTGTTCAGTTCTCCAGTCTTCATTTTCAGATCACCCTTTCCCATTCCCAGCCCTACCCCTTCCCTGCCCACCCAGCACTGCTGGCACAGTGTGACCTTCCCACAGCCCGTCTACCCTCACACGTTCTTGCTGTCTGCTTTAGCCAACTGCCTCAAATTGCTCCAGGAACTGAATGCTTCAGACCCCCTCCACATGAGCTACGTCATCAAGAAGATCAAGATCATGGCTTACAAGGCCCCCAACCTGGTGTTGGAAACCGTCTATAACTACTTCATAGACAACATGGAGGTGAGAGCTGCTTGGGCCATTTGGGGCAGGCATGGGGAGCAGAGGGGAGGGCTAGATCCCAAGGAGGGCTCAAATCTTGCCTTCTCCATATAGCAGCTTCATGATTTTGGGCAAGTCAATCTCCTCATATGTCCAATGGGCTGAGCGGGGAGAGAGGGAAGTAGACAAATGTGTGTTATCACCCTCAGAGCAGTATCATGTTATAGATATTATGATCCCCATAGATGAGAAAACTGAGGCTTAGGGAAGGGAAGTGATTCACCTAAAGTCATAGAGCTTTTAAGTGGCAGAGATGGATGGGTGGATGGATGATGGGTGGATGGATGGATGCATGGATGGATGCATGGATGGGTGGATGGATGGATGGGTGAGTGGATGTGTGGATGAGTGGATGGATGGATGGATAGGTGGATGGTTGGGTGGGTGGGTGGATGGGTGGATGCGTGGGTGGATGGGTGGATAGGTGGATGGATGGATGGATGGATGAATGGCTACATGGATGGGTGAATGGTTGGGTGGGTGGATGATTGTGTGGATGATTGTGGGGAGGATGTGTCTGAGTTTTAATGAATCAGTGAATAAATGAATGAATGAGTGAACTGACTTTTAAAATCACATAGCAGTCCCCTGAGGATAAGGACACATTTTTATTCATCTGTCTCGGCAGAACCTAGTTCAGGGTCTGCATACAGTAGATATTCGGTAAATGGTTCCTGGACGAATGGTCAAATTCATCCGCCTGTGATCTTTTCCTTCTGACCTCCTCACCTGCCCCCCACCTATGCTCCTACTGGCAACTCCCCGCATGATCAGACCCAACTTGTCCCTGAGCCTCTGTCCACTCTGCTAGCCACAGATCTCCACCTGGCACAAGTTCCGGCTGCTCCGCGTCATGGAGGCTGTCATTGGAGCCCTTGACTCCTTGGAGGTGACCTGGGAGAAAACCTTCATGCAGCTGGCCCTGGAGAACATGACCAAGTCCACGGTGGGCCTCCCCTCTCCAGCAAATAGACCACTGCCCCACGGATCCAAGTAATGCTGGGCATGCCCAGCCTTGCTATTGACCAAGTGGTTTCTGCCCATTTTCTTACCCTCAGCCCCTTCTGAGGGACAACCTCATGCACCCATTTTACAGTTGAAAAAGCGAGGCTCAGAGAGCTCACTGCTCGTCTAAGGCCACAGGACTCGTAAGTGGATGAGCCAAATGTCTGCTCTGGTGCCTACCTCCCTTTCCCCAGAAGTCCCTGCTCCAAGGCGGGCTCTGGGTCCCCCTCTCTCCACCTTCCTTACCACCCCAGCCTCTGGAAGGCCTCCTCTGAGTCTCGGCCATTCCCCAGGCTGTAACCCAGCCCGTGGCTGCCCGCCTTCTGCGTCCCTGCCCGATGGAGACGCGCAGGCTGGGACCTGAGCCGTGCCACCCCTGCCATCCCACCCCCACTCAGGCTGCAGCCCAGGAGCTGCCCCAGGCCCGTCCGCCATCTCTGCTGACTCCAGCTCCAAGCTTTGGGGGTCTAGGGTTTTTATTTAGACAGACTAGCCCGGGGTCGCCCCACGGTGGACTAGTCCGTAAACATGTGACCAGTCACGGTCAGAGAGGGGTGACCAGTCACCAAGGCGCACCACCACGGGTGCAATCCCTGGCACTCCACGAAGCAGCAAGGGGCTTCACTTCACCCTCCCGCAGGGCGTTTATGACCCCCGTGCACAGACGGAGGGATCGAGGCTCAGAGAGTTTAGGAGGCTCGCCTGCAGTGGCTCCCCAGCTGTGAACAGCAGGTGTGACGCGCTCCCCTGCTCCCCACGGAGAAGTTCGTGAATCCATCCTAGTGGGACTCAGAGAAAAACAGGGGACAAAGTCCATATCCACTATATTTGTTTTCTTTCTAAAATTCTTTTTTTAATTTTTAAAAACATTTTTAACCCGTCCTTGTGAAACACATCAGGCATGTCTTAGAAATGCAAGACATTCTTGCATAGTCCACAGACTAACGATAATAAAGAGCTGTGGCGGGGGCGGCGGCGTCCCAGGCTGGTGAGGGCTGCGGGACGAGAAAGCCCACCCGTGTCTGGGGCGACCTGGCTTCTGCCTCCCTGGGGGTGGACAGGAGCCGCCCTGGGCCAGCGTGGGGTAGGGCCGTGCAGGGCTGGGTGCCGCAGTCGGCTGCTCTGCGCTTTCTGCTTGTAAGCACACTGCAGCCCACCTCCAGCTCCCCAGCTCAGGTTGGGGCAGGCCAATTTTGAGACCTTGCATCTCCGGAAACACCCTGGACTATGCGTGGGAGATCATCGTCCCATGGTCTTCCTTCCCCCGCTGCAGCTGTTGGGACTTCAAAACCATCCTGAACATTAGTCCTTTATCCAAGACCCGCCTCTCTGCCGGCGGCTCCTTGAGCCTTCTCTCCCCCTGCATGTTCTGTGATCCTGCCATGCGGTGTCTCACTCCAGGTCTGTGTTCAGCCACCAGGCTTTGTGGTCCTGGGTCCTTCAGTCTGGCTGCTTGGGACCTCTGGAAGATTGCTTCCACTATTTCACTGATGAGGCTGTCCCCGGCGTTTCTCTGCTCTGGGCTTCAGGAATGCCCAACACTCACACGCAGAACTTTCAATAATTCCTAATGTTCTTTTCTTGCCTCTGCTTTTCCTTCTCTCTGTTCTTTGTTCTGCTCTCTGAAGATTCCTTGTTATCTTCCAGACCTTCTATTGAGTCTCCCGTTTATGCTCTTGCATCTTTAACTTTCCAGAGATCTTGTTTTTGTTCTCGGAATGTTCCTTTTTCCTGTCATGCTGTTTACAGCGTTTGTGGATGCAGTCTCTGCTGTTATCTCTCAGAGCATATTTAAGAGAGTTTGCCTTGAAGTTTTCATCTCTGTTTGGCCTCTCTTTCCTCCAAGTAGGTTTTTTCTGGGTTTCGTCAGGTTTGTGGCTGTGGGTTTCATTCACTCCCACATCCGAGGGCTTCTCCGGCGTGGCTGTCTGCCTGTGATTGGAAGTTGATAGGGTGCTCTGAACACACGGGTGAGGTGGTAGGATCTGGGGTCCACTGTAGAATAATGAGGTGAGCCCCCCGTGTGCCCCAACCCCCAGCCTGTATCGGCACCTCTCTATCTTTCCTCCTGGAACGTCCAGATCTCCCAGAGAAGACCCCAATTCAGGGCCTGGCCTGGAGGCTGAGGCCGAGGGCAGCCTTGCGGAGGGCCTGGCCTATGAAGTGACTCTCCCCTGTGCTTACAGGCCTGGCCTCCACGCTCAGAGACCCCTGCCTGCCCTCTCCTGGGACCAAGCCTGCAGACTTTGCTGGACCCTCCAGGTGTGCAGAGAGGGGAGAACATCTAGGCATCTGAGCACTTCTTAAACCACTCTCCCCCTACACCCACCACCCCGGCTGCAGAGGCCCAGGAGACGCACCTCTCGGATTTCTATCCAACAATGGGAAGATTATGCAGCATAGGCAAGGCTAGTTCTCGGCTTGCCCTGCTGCTGGCTTAGCACTCAGCCAGGTTACCTTTCATCCATCTGCTCTCCAGCCTCCAGAATGTGGTTGCTGTCATCCTTTTAAAAAATCTCCTAAATGTAGTTCAGTTGAGGTCTTTTTTTAGAAGAGTAAAATCGGATTCAATCCATCGAAACGAGAAGCCCTCATAAATTATAAATGATATAATGATTTCATACAGTGAGTCAGACATCATCACAGGGCACATGGGGGGAGCCTTTCAGATGCCACCAAATGCAGGGCAGACCCCTGGCCTTAGCCCAGCGATGATCCTGTGGCACCTGCCTCCCTCCAGCAGCCAGTTGACGGCTCCCACTAAGAAATGGGGAAGAGAGGAACTCAAAATTGGAGCAAGATCAAAGGAAATAGCACACACTTGTTGAGAAAAGTACCGGGTGTGGCAACACAGAGCTGGGCTCCAGGGCATGGGCGGTTCCTTTCTTCCTGACAACGCCCCTCCTCTAGACTGTGGTGGCCTGGCCAGGGGACAGGCCAGCTGGGTCTCTGCCCTGAGCTGCTGACACTCTGACTCCTTAGGCCAGAGAACTCCGGAATTCATGGTGATGAAGAATCAGAGGATGTGACATTGTCCTGAGCTGCCAGGAGCTTAGGAAGAGAGGTGGCATGGACTTCAGGACACATCTCCTGAGTGTAGGCCTGGGGGCGAGCTTTAAAGAAGGACTGGGATTTGGATAGACAGGGCAAGTGGGAACAGTGTTCCAGGCAGCATGGGCTAAGGCTCAGAAGCAGGAAGAAGGGGCCGGGCCCGTGGCTTAGCGGTTACGTGCACGCACTCCGCTGCTGGCGGCCCGGGTTCGGATCCCGGGCGCGCACCAACGCACCGCTTCTCTGGCCATGCTGAGGCCACATCCCACATTCAGCAACTAGAAGGATGTGCAGCTATGACACACAACTATCTACTGGGGCCTTGGGGAGAAAAAGGGAAAAAAAAAAGGAGGAGGATTGGCAATAGATGTCAGCTCAGGGCCGGTCTTCCTCAGCAGAAGAGGAGGATTAGCATGGATGTTAGCTCAGGGCTGCTCTTCCTCAAAAAGAAAGAAGAAGCAGGAAGAAGACGATGGGTTTCTGGAAGTGTCAGAGGATGTGGGAGTCACAGGAAGTTCTAAGCCCTGGGGCTGAGCTTGAGGTCCACCTGCCAGGTGTGCATGTCGGGCCTCCGGGCCTCCGGGCCTCGGTTTTCTGTCCCATAGATGGGTTGAGAACGGCTGCCCTGCCCACCAGACCAGACCACGTGTGAAATGCCACAGCCCTGTCTAAGCGCCTGCTCTTGCTTGTCGCCTCCCCACCCCAGGATCTGGAAGAGGTGTACCAGGACGCGGCCGGTGACGTGCTGGTGGCCATCTGCAGGCACTCGTGGCGTGCGGTGGCCCAGCTCCTGGAGACCGAGGTCCTGACAGGCGTCTTCCCCCACCGCAGCCTGTTCTACGTGATGAGCACCCTGACCTTTAATGGTATGTCCTGCCTCAGGGCCTGCGGGCCCCCACACCCAGCCTGGCCTCAGACGGGGGTGGGGCAGGTCAGGTCACGGAGAGAGAGCCAGGAGGGGCCCGGCTGGGCCGCTGACGCCCAGGACACAAGCAGGGCCAAGCGTCGGTTGCACAGCAGTGACGCATGTTCGTGCCAGAGGGCGACCAGCTGCTGACCAAGCATCCAACAGCCCGCCTCCCCGCGGCCGGCCCGGGCCACATGGGGACCCCCGTGAGAGGGTACCACCATCCTGCTGTGCTGCCCTGTCCCAACTAGGCCGCATCCTGCTGTCAGCATTTCAACTATGGGCCTGGACAGGACCAGGACAGGGCGAGGAGGCTCCGGGAGGTGGCCCAGGATGCGTGTGAGGCCAGCACGGCTGCTTGGCCCTCTCCCTTGATCACCGAGGCAGGTTCCCCTCCACACTGGTGGACGAGGAGGCCGAGCTCACAGAGGCAGTGTGACGAGCCCAGGTCACCCAGCAGCATGACACAGGCCTGTGGTGTCCGGGTCGGGGTGCTTCCACAATAGCCACTGCCCCCGAGCCATGGGAAAGGCCGCCCTGGACAGTGGGGGTCTCTGAGGACCCCGAGGGAGGGCCTATAAAGAGGGGTCTTGCCATGATGAGAGCTCAGCTAATGCAAGAGGCAAACACTGATGGAGCACGCAATGTGAGCCAGGCAGCCTGGCTTCAGGAGCTCACAGCCTCGCAAGGGAGGCAGGTGCCAGCTTTCATTTAGTCACGTGTTCATTCATTCACAAGCATGACTGAGCTCACTACCACCCAGCTGGGGAGGTACTGGGCTGCCCTGGCGGCCATCAGGGAGGGCTTCTTGGAGGAGGCTGCCAAGTCTAAGCTGTGCCTTGAGGGATGAGTAGGAGTTTGAGGAGGGAATGGTGGCAGACTCTGCTATCGACATGGAGGTCCAGCCTGGTGGGGGGCCTCTGAGGCCATGCTTGGGAGTTTGGACTCTAAGGCTGGGTGGGAGGAGGCAGGCCCCAGCTTGGCTCAGCTTTGCACCCTCTGCCTGGGACTGGCAGGCTGGGTGGGCTAGGTGACCCCTGAGACCCCCAGGGACATCCCCGAAGCAGCCCCTCCCTCTGAAGTTGGGTTTCCAAAGTTCCATTAACGCTTTCCAGTCTTACAGTGCACCCCTCCCTGAGCCTTATTTTCCCACCCGTGAGGGGACGCCAGGGCATCCCAAATGGCCATGCCCACAGAGACCCCTCCATTCACCATTGGTGAGCCTGAGGCCCAGAGAGGGAATGTGGCTATCTGAGGTCACACAGCCACAGTGACAGTGCCACAACTCCAACCCAGCTCTCTGGACTCCAAGCCCAAGCCTGGCTCACTATCCTCTGAGTTAACTTTCTCCATGGAGCCAGAATGGGCAGAGGCAGAACGATGTCACCCTGACTCAGTCTCATGTCCACGGGATTTGGGCTTGGAGCCCAAGATCCGGCCATGGCCATGGACATCAGACCTAGCCTCCAGTGACTCCTCTCTCTCCAGCAGAGGAAATCTTCAGCATTGGAGATAAGGCATGCTGGGAGGAGCAGCTGGACCAGGTAGGGAGGGAGCCCAGCCACTGGGGCCTTCTGCAGGGACGATGTGGGGACAACAGGGGAGCAGCAGCAAACCAGTGTGGATGGTCACCTGCTCAGCCCTGGGAGGGAAGGAGGCAGAGAAGGTAGAGAGAGGAAGGAGAGGGGAGGAAGGGAACACAGGGAGGGAGGGGGAAGGAGAGAGAGAGAAGGAGGGAGGGGGAAGGAGGGAGGGGGTAGAGGAGGGAGAGGGGAGGGAAGGGGCAGGAGGAGGGAGAGGGAAGGAGGGAGAGCCCCACTTTACAGATGAGCAAACAGGCTTCAGGAGGGAAGGGGTCTTGACCTCAGTCATGGAGCTGGTCCCTGGGGAGCTGGAACTTGAACCTTGGCCTCTAAATGCCTGACACAGAGCAGGTGTCCAACACATACAAGGCCCTTCCCACCCATCCTGTGGTCTATATCCATGACTGAGGGGGCCAGAGAGGATGCAGAGGCCAGATCTGAGATCAGAGGAGGAAGGAAGCAGGTCAGGGTGGACAGAAGCCACCACGGCCAAGGAGTGGCATCATGCAGGTCCGTCTCTGACCACACACCCAAGTGAGAGGCTTGTGTGGCTGGGAGAAAGGACGCAAGACTCTGGCAGACCTCAGTTCAAGTGCAGATTTGACCAATCACAGCTGTGTGGCCTGGGTGACCTACTTTCCTCTCCATATCTTAGTTCCCTCATCTGTCAAATGGGGATAAAAGTACCAGGATAACATGTTTGTTGTGAAGATCATAAGAAATAATCCATATAAAGTGCTTGGCACCATGCCTGGTACACAGGAAGCCCTTGTTAATTGTTAGTTATCATGACCATATAGGAGTAATTAAATGGCATCTAGTAGAAATAATACCAGCAGCAGCAGCAGCAACACAAGTAATTAATAGAAAAACAAGACAGAAAAATCACTCAGGATATAGAAGACTTGAACAACATAATTAACCAAATTGGTCTAATTGACATTCCTTTAAAATGTAAATAGAACATTCACCAAGATAGATCATTTGCTGGGCCATATATCAAGTTTCAATTAATTTAAAAGGGCTGAAATCAAACAGAGTACATTCTCTGACCAGAACATAAATTAAAAATCAATAGTAAAAATATATCTGGACCCACTTACATCAATGGCTAGATCATCCAGACGGAGAGTCAACAAGGAAACATTGGCCTTAAATGAAGCACTAGACCAGATGGACTTAATAGATATATATAGAGCATTCCATCCAAAAGCCACAGAATACACATTCTTCTCAACTGTACATGGAACATTCTAAAGACAGACCATATGTTGGGAAACAAAACAAGTCTCAATAAATTTGAGAAGATTGAAATCATATCAAGCATCTTTTCCAACCACAAAGGTATGAAACTAGAAATCAATTACAAGAAGAAAACTGTAAAAGTCACAAATATGTGGAGACTGAACAACACGCTACAGAACAACTATTGGGTCAATAAAGAAATCAAAGAAGAAATCAAAAAATACCTGGAGACAAATGAAAATGAAAACACAACATACCAAAACCTAAGGGATGCAGCAAAAGCAGTACTAAGAGGAAAGTTTATAGCATACAGGCCTACCTCAAGAAACAAGAAAAATCTTAAATAAACAATCTAACACTACATCTAAAAGAACTAGAAAAAGAAGAACAAATGAAGCCCAAAATCAGTAGAAGGAAGGAAATAATAAAAGTGAGAGTGAAAATACATGAAATAGAGACTAAAAGGACAATAGCAAAAGCTCAATGAAACTAAGAGCTGGTTCTTTGAAAAGATGAACAAAATTGGCAAACTCTTAGCCAGACTCCCTATGAAAAAAGAAAGAAAGCTCAAATAAATAAAATCAGAAATGAAAGAGGAGAAATTACAATGGATACCACAGAAATACAAGATTATAAGAGAATACTTTGAAAAGCTGTATGCCATCAAATTGAATAATCCAGACGAAATGGATAAATTCTTAGAATAATACAACCTCCCAAAACTGAGTCAAGAAGAAATAGAGAATTTGAATAGAACAATCACAAATAAAGAGATTGAAACAGTAATCAAAAATCTCCCAAAAAATAAAAGTCCAGGACCAGACAGCCTCTCTGGTGAATTCTACCAAACATTCAAGGAAGATTTAACACCCATCCTTCTCAAACTATTCTTAAAAATTGAAGAAGATGGAGCACTTCGTAACTCATTCTATGAGTCCAGCATCACCCTGATCAAAAGCAGACAAAGACAACACAAAAAAGGAAAATTAAAGGCCAATATCACTGATGAACATAGATGCAAAAATCCTCAACAAAATATTGGCAAACTGAATACAGCAGTACATTAAAAGGATCATACACCATGATCAAGTGGGATTTATGCCAGAAACAAAGGGATGGTTCAACATGCGCAAATCAATGTGATACACCACATTAACAAAATAAGGGATAAAAATCACATGATTGTCTTAATAGATGCAGAGAAAGCATTTGACAAGATCCAACATCCATTAATGATAAAAACTCTCCATAAAATGGGTATAGAAGGAAAGTACCTCAACATAATAAAAGCCACATATGACAAACCCACAGCCAACATCATACTCAACAGTGGAAAACTGAAAGCTATTCATCTAAGAAGAGGAACAAGACAAGGATGCCCACTATCACCACTCTTATTCAACATAGTATTGGAAGTCCTGGCCAGAGCAATTAGGCAATAAAAATGAATAAAAGTTATCCAAGTTGGAAAGGAAAAGTAAAATTGTCACTATTTGTGGATGACATGATTCTATATATAGAAAACCCTAAAGAATCCACCAAAAAGCTATTAGAAATAACTAACGAATACAGTAAAGTTTCAGGGTACAAAATCAACATACAAAAATCAGTTGTATTTCTATACACTGGCAATGAACCAGCAGAAAGAGAAATCAAAAATACAATCCCATTTACAACTGCAACAAAAAGAATAAAATACCAAGGAATAAATTTAACTAAGGAAGTGAAAGACCTATAGACTGAAAACTATATGACACTGTTGAAAGAAATTGAAGAAGACATAAAGAAATGGAAAGATATTCCATGCTCGTGGATTGGAAGAATTGACATAGTTAAAATATCCATATTACCTAAAGCAATCTACAGATTCAATGCAATCCCAATAAGAATCCCAACAACATTTTTCATGGAAATAGAACAAAGAATCCTAAAATGTATATGGAACAACAAAAGACCCCAAATAGCCAAAGTAATCCTGAGAAAAAAAGAATAAAGCTGAAAGTATCACACTCCCTGATTTCAAAATATAGTACAAAGCCATAGTAATCAAAACAGCATGGTACTGGCAGAAAAACAGACACACAGGTTAATGGAACAGAATTGAGATCCCAGCGATAAACCCACACATCTATCGACCACTAATTTTTGACAAAGGAGCCAAGAACATACGATGGAGAAAGGAAAGTCCCTTCAATAAATGATGCTGGGTAAACCAGCAGCCACATGCAAAAGAATGAAAGTAGACCTTTATCTTACACCATATGCAAAAAATTAACTCAAGATGGATTAAAGACTTGAATGTAAGACCTAAAACTCCCAGAAGAAAACATAGGCAGTGTGCTTTTTGACATCAGTCTTAGCAGCATCTTTTTGAATATCATGTGTCCTCAGGCAAGGGAAACAAAAGACAAAATAAACAAATAGGACTACATCAGACTAAAGAGCTTCTGCACAGCAAAGGAAATCATCAAAAACAAAACAAAAGGACTACTTACCAATTAGGAGAAGATATTTGCAAATCATAAATCTGATAAGGGGTTAATATCCAAAATATATAAAGAACTCATACAACTCAACAACAACAAAAAACAACCCAGTCAAAAAATAGGCAGAGGATATGAACAGACGTTTTTCCAAAGAAGGTATACAGGTGGCAAACAGGCACATGAAAAAATGTTCAGCATCACTAATCATCAGGGAAATGCACATCAAAACTACAGTGAGTTATCACCTCACACCTGTCATAATGGCTATTATTAAAAAGACAAGAAATCAGAAGTGTTGGAGAGGATGTGGAGAAAAAGGAACCCTCATACACTGCTGGTGGGCATGTAAATTGGTGCAGTCACTATGGAAAACAGCATAGAGATTCCTCAAAAAATTAAAAATAGAACTACCATATGATCCAGCTATTCCATTTCTGGGTATTTATCCAAAGAACACAAAAACACTAATTTGAAAAGATATATGCACCCCTATGTTCATAGCAGCATTATCCACAACAACCGAGATGTGGAAGCAACCTAAGTGCCCATCAACAGATGATTGCATAAAGGAGATGTGGTATATACATACAATGGAATACTACTCAGCCATAAAAAAGACGAAATCTTGCCATTTGCATCAACATGAATAGACCTTGAGGGTAATGTGCTAAGCAAAGTAAGCCAGACAGAGAAAGACAATTACCATGGGACTTCATTCATATGTGGAAGATAAACAAACACATAGATACAGAAAACAGATTGGTGGTTACCAGAGGGTAGAGGGGGCATGTGTGTATGGTGAAGGATGGCAACTAGACTTTTGGTGGTAAACATGATGCAGTCTATAGAGAAGTCGGAATATAACGATGTACACCTGAAATTTATATAATGTTATAAACCAACATGACCTCAATATTCATATTCAAAAGAATTCTAAATATTTGGAAATTAGACAGCACACATCTAAATATCCATGGGTCAAAGAAGACATCACAAGGGAAATTAGAAAATATTTTGAACTGAATGAAAGTGAAAACACAACATGAAAATTTGTGGGGTTCAACAAAAAGGAATGCATAAGAGGAAATTTATATTTTTTAATGCCTACATTAGAAAAGAAGAAAGCTGTAAAGTTTATTATATAAACTTACATTTTAAGAAGTTTTCAAAAAAGAGCAAATTAAACCCAAAGTAAGGAGAAGGAAAGAAATAATAAAGACTAGACTAGAA